ACTCACTGACATTTTCGTCAGTTCTTCTCTCATGCACACAAAGACACAAATACTTAAACATGTCTCAAATGAGTTTACTACTACTATTTTCCTACAGAAATATCTCTCTCCACTTAATCAAAAATTTAACTTTAAGCTTCAATCCATTATTTATATATATTTCAAAATATAGTGATACTACAGTAAGACAGATTATATAGAGACTATACATGTGTGTTTGTGTGTGCGTGTGTACACTTCCCACACACCTCCACTTCCAGTCTCCCACCAGAAGAACCAGAACACTAAACACTTCATTTTTCTCCTGGAAAGCAAGTATGATTTTCTCTGTTTTAAGAAAACTAAGTAAAACAAGGTTGTAGAACTTTTTCAGAGGCCAAACAATGATCAAACTAAATCTAAGAATCTTAATGCTAATGATAAGTCCAGTAACAAACCTTTATACACAAAACTTTACATCATCCACTTTTTCCACATGTGATGTACTTTTTTGCCTTAACAAAGAAAGATGTCTATAGTATAGCTGGAATATAATAAAAATGGTAATATAGGTTTGAACAAATATAAAATTACATATATCCATCACTATAATATGATACAGAGTATTCTCACTGCCCTAAAAATCCTCTGGGCTCTGCATATTTATCTCTCCTCCATCTCCACCCCTGGCAACCACTGATCTTTTTATTTTCCCCATATTTTTGCCTTTTCCAGAATGTCATATAGTTGGAATCATACAGTATGTAGTCTTCTAAGACTGGCTTCTTTCACTGAGTCATACGCATTTAAGTTTCCTCCATGTCTTTTCCTGGCTTGATAGCTCATTTCTTTTTAATAGTGAATAATATTCCATTGTCTGGATGTACCACTGTTTATGTATCCATTCACCTACTGAAGGACATCTTGGTTGCCTCCAAGAATGTACAACACCAAGAATGAACCCTAAGACAAACTATGGACTTTGAGTGATTATAAAGTGTCAATGTAGGTTCATCCTTGGTGAAAAAAAAAAAAAAGTACCATTCTGGTAAGTGATGTTAATGGAGGAGGTTATGCATGTGTGAGGGCAGGAGGTTTATGGGGATTTCCCGTATACATCTGTATGTCCCTCTCACTTTTGTTGCAAACATAAAACTGCTCTAAAAATATAGTCTTTTATACAAAAAGGTAATATCCTTGGGGAAATAGATATACAATTAAGTTAATGTTGAACAGGAAAATGATTTAAAATGTAAATAGCTACATAAAATAACATCTTTAAAATATTAATAACAGATTGATTTCAAAGAAGCAAAAGTAATATCAAGATGTGAAAGATGGACAGAGGAAATTGAATATAAATTTAAACAAAAACATATTTAATGTCTGAAACCAAAATGAGATCTACTTAATAACTAGTCATCTGTAGCACATAAATTATTGCAACTAACAACCGGGGTAATTTATGCTCCCGTCATTAATTTCAATTAGTATATATTCAGGTATAATGATAAATCATAAGAGAGAGAGAGAAAGAGAGGGACTATGTTTTTGTTTTGCCTATTGCAAGGGCAAGGGAGCAGGAGAGAAGAGTTCAAGAAATAGAGATTGTTCCAGAAACCTAAGGATAGTCAGTGAGCCATTTCAGGCTACCCACATACACATCTGGTAAGATAAGCAGATCTAGCAACAGTTCCCAGCAGATCTCATTTGTGATTTTGAAAGGGATTAGATATTAATCATCACCTCTATCTGCTGCTTGCAGAACACAGTCTGCTTGATACAATCTGCATGACTCATAAAGGCATGTGAGTCTTAGGTAAAATATGAAAGAAAACACATTTATGTATGGAAGCTAAGCTCTCTTCAATGCATATAGAAGGGCTTTCAGTTTATAGCTCTCATTATCATTATCACTGTAGGGAGTTACTGCAAACACTTCCATTGACTGTCCAATAACATAACAATATATCATGTGTTTTAATTTAAGAAAACTAGGGCATATAAAGTTATTACAAATGAGATTTAATTCAAAACAATAAATTTTGTAAATGGATAGCTTTTAAATGCAAGCCAGATTTTCTGAGAAATTGATGATTCCAATGATAGGCGACAAGCGGTTTATAACTTTGGTCCAGTCTGAAAATTTGGGGAAATATTATTTTTAGTGTAAGGAATCTGGGGCTATAGCTAAAGTAATCCCCACTCCTCAGTAGGCTGCCAAAGCTGCACAGACTTCTCACCATGCAGGGTTTATTTTCAGCACAGGAAAAGACTGAACCAACAACCCTGGCTGTCAGAAAGACAGCAGGGGAGGAACCATGATGGAAACATTTTTAAAATAGTAAACACCCCCTACTCACTATACATTTGACAGTAAACTGTCCCCTGCAGGGAACAAGATTATTTGAAGTGTGGTCCTCCAAAAAAAAATGGATAGAGATCATTCCCAGTTGTACTTCTAGTGTTCTAAAATTGATTGCAGCTGCCTACTTATTGGATAGAGACTGAATTTGGCAGTTGCAATCAAGGTTGCCAAACATCTTATAGAATATTAAATAGAAAAATGCAAGTCAAAAATTTTAAAACCAAGGAAAAGAAGGAAGGATAGAAGGGAGGGAGGGAGGGAGGGAGAAAGGAAGGAAGGAAGGAAGGAAACGAGTCAAGGATATATGAGCTGCTTTTTGCTTTGTGTGATAAGGACAAGCTATTCAAATACTGTAAAAAGAAGAGGAATTGAGAAAATAAAACCTAAAAATGGTAAATACACAACGAATCATCTCAATTTATCAGCCAAATCAATTGTGCATTACTTGCACACTAAGAAACAAATCAGTAAAAATTCAGGGATATAATCAGTAAAAATTCAGGAATTGTTGGATGAAAAGGCATAGTGGGGGACTTTTCTTGGAATTGCTTTTGCATAGTAAACACTCTCTTTACTTATATTTTATGTTCAATGTTGACCACTGCCACTTAATTATATATTATGGATCAATAAAAATGACAAAGTTTTCTAAAGACACTTTTATTAACACTCAACATATGTTTGAAAAAAATGGCTCTACTCATTTAAAAGACAGCCCCAAGGGATAGCTGGGGAGGAGAATGTTAGCCAAAGTCTTTTCTACCCCAATCCACCTTTGATAAAATAACAGAGATAAGATGAAAATAGTCAATTGTCAATTTTTCTATTGTTATAACTTTGCTGTCCTTTTAATCCAAGTTTGTTTTGCTGATTTAACAGCATGGATATTCCTTAGGCTAATATAAGCATTATATATAAATACTATATGCAATATATTGTGTATATATAGTCAGTTCTGCTACAATGCTATAACATAGTGTATGTGTTCCAAACATCACTGCACTATACAAATCGTGCAATAAAAACTGCAGGGCTCATGGGAAAATGGGGTTAAGTGAAGTCTTTAAGTGTTGTGTCCCTATTCTTATTTTTCCCATGAGCCTTATAGTTTTTACTGCATGATATGTATAGTGCAGTGATTTCTTTTTTTATATATAAATTTATTTATTTATTTATGTTTGGCTGCATTGGGACTTCTTTGCTGCGCGTGGGCTTTCCTCTAGTTACGGAGACCGGGGGCAACTTTTTGTTGCTGTGCACGGGCTTCTCACTGCGGTGGCTTCTCTTGTTGTGGAGCACAGGCTCTAGGTGCGCAGGCTTCAGTAGTTGTGGCACGTGGGCTCAGTAGTTGTGGCTCGCTGTCTCTAGAGCACAGGCTCGGTAGTTGTGGCACATGGGTTTAGTTGCTCCACAACATGTGGAATCTTCCCGGACCAGGGCTCAAACCTGTGTTCCCTGTGTTAGTGGGCAATTTCTTAACCACTGTGCCACCAGGGAAGTCCATATGGTGCAGTGATTTCTAGGAACACTTATGTATTGGAATAAATTCATATTTTGAAAACAAGCATTATAGCAAAAACTCCCGGATATATATAGAATATATCCAACCCAGGAATAAGGCCCTCCTTTCC